CGGCAGACAATTTTACTTGTCAAGGGGAGAGTGCTGACACTCAATGGGTTAATTAAACTATCTGACCATGTGTCTAGTTATCCCAATGCACCCTAGCTTTACTATTTTACTCTGTCTAAAGCCAGACAATTTGGCTCATCAAAGGGAGGGCACTGGTGCTTAAAAAACCATTCATTTGGAAAAATTTCATGCGAAAATTTATATAAAAATTTCATGCGAAAATTATAAAATCTGCTTCATAATGATAACCTCAACTCGACGCTTGACTGAAAAATATAAAGAAAGGAAAAAAGTTGAACATACTATATAATTTGGGAAATGATGAAACATTTCAATATTGAGAAAATTGATCAAACTTGTTATAACATTCCAACAATGTTAGGTATATCAGATCATTGAGTTCATGTCGATTTGTTGTGCTTGTAAATGTTTAAACTTAAAAGTCCATTTGTATTTGAATTGTACAAGAAAATTACTACTGTATTATTACAAGAAAATTGTTACTGTATTAACAAAATGTTATATACTAGAAGACTTTGTTATTTTACTCTTTCTGCTGCCAGATGAATTTATCTATCAAGGGAAAATGTTAATTGTTTAAAAAGACTACAGTACATTTCTCATTAGCTAAATAAATAACAATTAAATTTTAATGTTTGAATGTGATGCTTTACTGTAGCTACTGTGCACTAGTCTTGATTTTACTCGGCAAAGAAAAGCATTGGGCATAAACAGGATAAAAATATTAATTTTGAAACTGGGGACTTGAGAAGAATAGGTTAGAGAAAAGGGTAAATCTTGGTGAACAATACTTGTTTGATAATCTCAAGAAATCATTGACCCTGGAAAAATGGGAAAGACAAGAGAAAAAAAGAAAACAATTAGTTCCACCATGATTTTAATATAGGTAAGTCAGTTTAAAATTAATATACTTAGTTTAAGGTTATATGTCATTATTATATATCTAATACTATGTTTTGTCAGGAATATTTACAAGTAGTTGCTAGTGAAATAAGTTTTAAAACAATAACCCTTCTATCATTCATTCTTTTCTTGGCAAGTGACCATATAGATTCAGAGTGAAAATATTCACCTATTTAGCAGACCAAATGCTTGGAACTATTCCCATTTGTGCACATAAATGTATGGATAACAAGTTGTTAGTACCTAAATCACCAGGTCCAATATCAAAACCTCTTTTCCGCCTTCTTTCCCTCTTCCCTTCTTGACTAACTTCACCATTTGTTGTTGCTTCATGCTAAAAATACAAGGGCTAAACTATAGAACAACCATTCAGCAGGGCTTGAAGTAGAGAAAAAATATAGCAGGTGAAATAAATTATTTCACCTGCCAAATTTTTTGGCAGGTGAAATAAATTTTAGACTGCCATTTTTATTCATTGAACTGCCAAAATGGCAATGTCTCATATGAGTCATATTGTATTTGTAAAAATCAATGTTTTCATGATATGCGTTTTTATTATTTTTAAACTTGTCTATTTTACCACAGTAAACTTGGGTTTACATTTCAAATATAAACATATTTAGTCAACTAAATGATCTAGTATACATGATTTACAAGTGGTAAGCAAATGAAATGAAATATATCTATAGAATATCACCTGTTATTTTTTACTTCAGTTGGCAGTTCAAATTTGTTTTTGCCTGCCATTTCTAAAATATGGCCTGCTTTTGGCCATTGGCAGCCCGCTTAAAGGTGTAAAAAAAATACCTGTCGTTCCGGTTCCCGAACGACCCTATTTTTTCTGCCGACCCTATTATTTTTTAAACGCGATTGACAGTGTGACCCTATTTTCTCCAGGTGGTTGCGGGCTGCTGCCAAAATGGTGTCTGTTGTCACACTAATTATTGAAAAAACCATGAAAAAAATATTCAAAAAAAAAATTATTTCCGACCTACCGACCTAATTTTTTTCGCGATATGAAACTGGAACCACAGGTATTTTTTTTACGCCCTATTTCGAGCCCTGCCATTCACTTTACACCAATTAACTCATGTGCAAGCGCCATACTTTATTTTTTTACTCTGTCTAATTCTAGACAATTTTACTTGTCAAGGGAGAGTGTTGGGTCTCAACACTCTTGAAACATTCACAAATGGCTGAAAGTTAATTTACAAAATTGGATAATATTTCTACATGTTGATTCGTTGAATGCACAACTGCCAGCGGTTGTTCAAAGCTAGATTAGCATAACCCTCTGTTAAAACTTAACCTGCATTTTAGTTTCTGTATTTCTGCACATCACTTTGTTTCAAAACTTCAAAGAAAACTCCTACCGATCCAGACAAGCTTATCTTAAGTTTATAAACAAGCAACTGGGAAGTTTGCTTAGAATTTTAGGTTAACCTAGAGTTAAGGCAATCCAGGTTTGAACAACTGACTCAACTGAAGATTTTATATACAGATTTACAGACACAGACTTTAATATATAAGTACATTTGTTAGCCAACAGTACATTAATGACATAATTCAACGTTTTGAGATTGATTCGACATTTGATTCTACAGAATTACGTTAAAAATGTCACGAAATTTGTTTAATATACGCAGATCATTGTCGGAATACCATGAGGATTATACAACTTCTTACGTAAATTGGGTCGTACCGTAAACATATTTTAACATAAAACATTTTCACACCAAAATATAAACATAAAAGGGAAGGGTTATAGTGATGTTTATGCTCCCAAAGCAACTCCATTTATATCTTAACCCTTCCCCAAAAGACAATGTTAAAGTTTCAGTTCATAAAGGCATATTACCTGTGTTTCGTTCGGCACTGACGGTGCTTGAATTTCAGCTACTTCGGTGGCCATTTTGAATCAAAATGAGTTCCACACTTCCACATCACGTGCTCACACGCGTGGGGCTCCCGCAAGAAACCCAAAGAAACACATTTTTTCCCACCTGACTCTTAAATCTAATAATCTATGTCAAGCAAGTCATAATATTAAGCAATCAAGTAACATTTCCTCAAAGTAGCTAGAATTTCATTTGAAGAAATATTTTTCGTGGGCCCCGCGAAACGTTAATCCAGCCCTGGCAAATTATCAGCGCGGGGTAGCCTGTGTCGCATACTTCAAAACATGGGCGGGGCCCTTTTAACCCGTTGAATGTCTCGGCATAACCATTCAACTTGGATGGTTACGACGTTGAATGTCTTCGGCATAACCATTCAACTTGAATGGTTATGCCGTTGACTCTCATCGGCATAACCATTCAACTTGAATGGTTATGCCGTTGACTCTCATCGGCATAACCATTCAACTTGGATGGTTATGACGTTGAATGTCTTCGGCATAACCATTCCTGACTTGGATGGTTATGCCGCTGACTGTCTTCGGCATAACCATTCAACTTGGATGGTTATGACGTTGAATGTCTTGGGCATAACCATTCAACTTGGATGGTTATGACGTTGAATGTCTTCGGCATAACCATTCAACTTGGATGGTTATGACGTTGCCTGTCTTCGGCATAACCATTCAACTTGGATGGTTATGACGTTGAATGTCTCGGCATAACCATTCAACTTGGATGGTTACGACGTTGAATATCTTCGGCATAACCATTCAACTTGAATGGTTATGCCGTTGACTGTCTTCGGCATAACCATTCAACTTGGATGGTTATGACGTTGAATGTCTTCGGCATAACCATTCAACTTGGATGGTTATGCCGTTGACTGTCTTCTGCATAACCATTCGACTTGGATGGTTATGCCGTTGACTGTCTTCGGCATCATAACCATTCAACTTGGATGGTTATGACGTTGACTGATGTCTTCGGCATAACCATTCAACTTAGATGGTTATGACGTTGACTGTGTTTGGCATAACCATTCAACTTGGATGGTTATGATGTTGACAGTCTTCTGCTTAACCATTCAACTTGGATGATTATGACGTTGAATGCGGTCCTTGGCATAACGGCCATTCCTGACTTGGATGGTTATGCCGTTGACTGTCTTCGGCATAACCATTCAACTTGGATGGTTATGACGTTGAATGTCTTCGGCATAACCATTCAACTTGGATGGTTATGCCGTTGACTGTCTTCTGCATAACCATTCGACTTGGATGGTTATGCCGTTGACTGTCTTCGGCATCATAACCATTCAACTTGGATGGTTATGACGTTGACTGATGTCTTCGGCATAACCATTCAACTTAGATGGTTATGACGTTGACTGTGTTTGGCATAACCATTCAACTTGGATGGTTATGATGTTGACAGTCTTCTGCTTAACCATTCAACTTGGATGATTATGACGTTGAATGCGGTCCTTGGCATAACGGCCATTCCTGACTTGGATGGTTATGCCGTTGACTGTCTTCGGCATAACCATTCAACTTGGATGGTTATGACGTTGAATGTCTTCGGCATAACCATTCAACTTGGATGGTTATGCCGTTGACTGTCTTCGGCATAACCATTCAACTTGGATGGTTATGCCGTTGACTGTCTTCTGCATAACCATTCGACTGGGATGGTTATGACGTTGACTGTCTTCGGCATAACCATTCAACTTGGATGGCTGTGACGTTGAATGTCTTCGACATAACCATTCAAACTTGGATGGTTATGACGTTGGATGTCTTCGGCATAACCATTCAACTTGATTTGAGTCGTGACACATGTTTATTCTTTATTGAGTACGAATAAGGACCTCACAATGTTAATTTGCGCTATACCAATATTGGACAATTTTGAAATGCTTGAAAAAATCACTATTCGGCCTTCGTTTTCGTAGAACCGGCCTCTGGTGTTTGTAAAATTTATATACACTTGTATATTAAAAACTGGTATTGATCCAGAAAATATTTTTTGAGAAATATTATATAAAACAATCTAGATGATGTCTTTGTTACATAACACAAACACGCACGCCCATTCCATTCGTCAGTAGCCTGCGTAATTCGTCGGTAATAACAAGCTTTCTGATTGGTTGAAACTCAACACGCCATAACAAAATGCGACTGTATAAGACAGGATTCACAGGAAGGAAATGTAGCCATAATTTTTATTTTTTTCCAAGAAAATTCTATTAAATTTGGACTCTGAAGCTGCAAAATGCCTGCTAAGGACTTAGAAGTTGGTTCAAGGTTGCCATTTGTTATATTATTGGAGTTATTTCTCACCTTAGAAACGGAAATTTTCGACCATTGGTTTTGTTATGGCAGACTATTTCAGCTTGCTGGTAAGACAATAATTTTGTTGGAAAATAAATGTATTTGATCAATTTTACAATTTACCCACTATGAATTTAAACCGTAATGGCTTTCAATCATCAATGTATTGTCATACTTGTTTCATTTTAACAAGAGTGTATTGAGGGCTTTTGCAAATTGTTTCTATGATGCCTTTTATAGAGCCTAGCCTTTTAATACTGTCTAGTATCTTGAACGTAACAGTAATATAAAAGGTATTGTGTCATAAGGTTAATTTTTATTTGTGACACACAAGCAATACCCAACATTATAAGTTATAAATTACATGTTTCCATGTTGTATTAAAATTAATTTGTTCTTTTCAGGAATTATTATCAGTTTATGGTGCTTCCTGCTTCATCAAGAACAACTAACAGCAGTTTACCATTATTCATTATTTGCCATTGATATGACAATCATTTTATATCTAAATTTGTACAACACAATTGACTTTGGAGGTTCATTAGTAACTCGCAACAATGGTTTGTCATTTTGGGATATATTTATTGTTTTCCCAATCGTGGTTGGCGCTTGGGTATTTTACATTGCTTCTGTTATTCTGTACTCGAGAGGACTTCACACAAAGAAGCCAATTGCTTTTGCATTTTCCACTGCCCCTGTATTCGTTCATCGAATATGCTTTGCCAAAACAGGTGAAAATCCACCAATATGGCTTTGTTTATTTGTTTTCATCTCGGCATACTTGGCGTTACATGCCCTATACACAACAATGAAGAGCATTTTAAGATACCTATGGAGTTCATTCAATGTTGCAAAATGGTTGTGTCGTATGTATGGTTGGACTGTTCTTTTTGTCTTCCACTGGCGAAGGTTGTATATTGCCGACACACTTACTGTGTTTTGGACAATGGTTTTTGCCATCAACCTGATCATTCAACACGTATGTTCCATGCAACCAATTTCAATGTCAGCATTGGTATTCAGTTCTGTTGCACACAGTTGTACGTCGTTATTGACCATGTTGAGCATGTGTTTTATCATTTACAAGATCTGCAACTTCATTTTGACACATGTGAAGAATTTCTACCATGATGACCATATTCCCATGGAAGAGTCAAATTCGTCCCCATCGGGTGTACGAGAAGCTTGCGGCTTTTTCTTCCTCGCTTTGTACACCGGAGTTGCTAGCTGTGAACCTAGCCGGAAGATGTACCTTTTGGAACTGATATTTTATCTACTACTTGCAGCCTTAATAAGATCAATGTTCGAGGTAGTAGAACCTGTTTTGCTTGCTTTAAGCTCGTTACAGACTGCCGGGATTCGAAAGCATTTGCGTGTGTTGGGATTCATTTTCTTCCTGCTTGTGTCCGCATTTTATCTGGCATTTAGCGTATATGAAATGAAAGACCGTATACCATTCATGACTCCAAACATTATAACAATAGCTCAAATTGTTGCTGCCTTAGTACTGTACAGCCTTTACTGCTATGATGCACAACATGACGGGGTCTGGGAGGAATTAGATGATTATGTGTATTATGTCAATGGAGGTTGCCGTGTATTTGAGTTTGGTGTGATTGCAGCAGTTCTCTGCTACCGCCTGTGCGACTTCACTTTGGAATGGACCTTGTTCCAAATTGCCATGGCACTCTTGCATATATATGTTAACATTTGGCAACCGGCTCGGGAAGGATGGCAGAGTTTGCGTAAAAGACATCAAGTCTATCAAAAGTTGAACGCATTGCCGGAAGCAAGTCAAGACGAGATTGAATCCCTTGAGGATGTGTGTCCGATATGCCTTGAAGAACTGAAGTCAGCGAGGGTGACGCCTTGTCGTCACTTCTTCCACAACCTATGCCTGCGGAAATGGCTTAAGGTGCAAAACAAATGCCCCATGTGTCATGCCAATATTTTGGCTCTTTGAACAAGAATATACCTTAAACATGTAACATACAAACCTCAAAAGTAACACAGAAAAATCTGATTAGAAGCGCTTTAAAACACTAGTAAATTCTGATATACAGCTTTGTTGAGAAGATTTGCAAATAAATCTTGAATTAAGACGTTATATTTGTAGATATTTAAGATTACTTGTTTTGGTGTTGTTTATATGGATTAAACATTGATATTTTAAAAATTGTTTTGTCCAATGATTCCGCTTCCTTGACGCAATACATTATAAATGCGTGTATAAATGCGTGTGTGCGTGCTGGGGCGCGTCATTGTTCATTTGTGCTGAAGACGTACGTATCTGGCCACTGCATCATATATAGCTTGGAAATTTTGAGTGTAAATTACTAAATTCTATACATTATTTAGACCTATAAACAGCAGCTGTTGCAAAAAATGCAACCATAGGTAGATTGTATTAATGTAGCCTACATTGATACAATGACGACTACGTGAGATGCCCAAAATTCGGACTATAGGCACTGAGTAGCCAGTAGTCTTCTTTCACAAAAGTCATAAGTTATCAAAACACATCACTCAAAGAGTGGAGGTTCAATCTGAGATCCCCTTAAGTGCCAGTGCAGTTTTTGAATAACTGGAGGGTGAGTAGTCACATAGGTACGAGACTAGCCCTCCAGCTATTCAAAAACTGCACTGATAATCAAGGGAAACTCAGATTGAATCTCCACTCTTTGAGTGCGAGTGAGCTGTTAGAATACAGGCGTTAGTCTTATAATTAGTATGTTTACATGAACAGCGTTTTGCTATACTGTAGTTAATTTTCTATACTAGGCAGCGTGATCAACTCGAAAGCTTTGCTCGTTTGATTACAGGTCGAATATTTTTAAAGATTTTAGTCTCCGATCCGTCAACTCGGATCAATTTTTCATCTCACTATCCACAGATTTTTGCCAAAAATGGACCTCCGACTGATTGAAATCTTCACGCTCAAAAAGGTCTATATACCGGGAATTACACTATGCTTGGAAATTCAGAGCACGAGTTACGGTCTTTTGAAAATGTGTTCCTACTGCATTTGACTGAAATTTCTGCTGCAGTGAAAATTTCAATGGACCTTTCACCTTTTGACCAAAATTTAGATTTCAACAAGTCTAGACAAAAATTTTATCACAGCTTGAAAGAGCATCACAAAATTAGTAATATTCCGAAGTTTCGTTGCGAAATGTTGTAAAATGCGGATAATATAGTCTTGCGAAGTTCGCAATTTTCAGTCATTTTGTATTACAAACGGGAAAAACATACCCTTTTTCGGAAGGAGGTATGTATTTCCCGCGCGTAATACAAAATGACTGAAAATGGCAAACTTCGCAAGGCTATATTATACGCATTTTACAACATTTCGCAATGAAACTTCGGAATATTACTAATTTTGCGATGCTCTTTCAAGCTGTGATAAAATTTTTGTCTAGACTTTTTGAAATCTAAATTTTAGTCAAAAGGTGAAAGGTCCATTCATTCTTGCCAAAGCCAAAGGATGATTCCAGTTATACAAAAAATTTTGATCTAGACAAGAAGAACGGATCCCATTACCACAGCTATATTTTCTTCATTTTACATTTAGCAACCAAACTAGTTTGCAGTTTTACTCATTCTAAGACGCTCTTTCTAGCTGTGGTGTTGGATTTCGTTCTTCTTGCTTTGATCAGAATTTAGTCTATAGCGAGCCTGCGTGCAGTCTGTAATCACCCAACACAAAAAATCAGTCTCGTACGAAGATGAGATAACGCACACGGCCACGAGGATAGGCTATGACGCGTATTCTGATTAAAAGCGCGAAACGTTAATATTCAATAAATCTACTTTAAACCACCAAGTGGCAATGTGCCCCAATGCGCCCAACCTCGGTATTACCACTTATAAGGCAGGATAGCTTTATTTCTTCAATGATAAAGGAACAGTTAGGTAATCTTGAACGTCGTGTTGGTAGAGATGTAACGACCTGAAGAACACAAGGAGAAATTCGACGTTTCCAGCGAAGGCCCGGCCCTACGAACCGTTGAATTTCTAGTGTATTTTTCCGGTAGTTCAGTAGTTATGTCCCTACCAACGAAAGCTTTGTTCTTACAGAGGAAGCTTACATATCATGATATTCAGAGAGGTCTACCAAAAAATTTGTTTGCAGAAGAAAATTGACGTTCATACTTCATATCTAAAGAACGTTTTCCGCCTTGGCTTGCTAGACGTCCGTTTTCAAAGTGCGTGCACTTTTCTGTTGACATTGAACCATGGTTACTCTAATATTTTCAAACAACCCTATCACACTGTCAAAATTCAAGTGGTGATGAAACACACGCATGCATATATTTCATACTTGTATTTAACACATTTCAAGGAAAAGAACTCGGCGTTGAAGCTGATCAATGATTTTATTTTTTTAATGGCTGGTCATGGTTTAAAAGATCGAATATAAAGTATAGGCGTTGGTTTTTCATCAAGAACTGAACTGCTATTATTTTGAATGGTCATTATTTGAACGTTGGTATGGTCTTGAATTTTGATTTACAAGTTCATTCACGTTGTCAACACTGTCACTGAGCTTCTCAGTGTTACTTGTACTGAAGTAGCACATAGGCACAACGTTGGCAAAGATATTGTTACCACGCCAAAATCTCGTGTTTTTTAGAAGATAAATAACCCAATATTGGCACTCAGAAAAGGCAACTTAATAGTTAACAAGTCTTCATAAAATCCTTAATTATTAAACAGATTTAGTAGAGCTGGCTCTGGCAATATATATATAAGCCTATTATCGCATACTTTCTCAAGATAAACTGAAACTTATATTTGCCTCAGTCTGACAGAGAGAGGCCCTGACAAAGTGCTAAAATATATTTGCTGACCAAAAGGCAAAACATATTCGCAATTGCTGCCTTTGAGTTTGGCTTTGGTTGCATTCCCAGAATTCCATATACGCGTCTGACAAGCTTGAAGACATATATTGGGTCAAAAGGGCAAACAAAAATAAGCAATATTCGTTTTATGAAAACATAATGACAAGCAATTTTCATATCTCTGATAAAAGGGATATATTGGATAATATTTGGACGCATGCGGAGTGACGACAAATTGAACCCACAACCAAATGGGTATTGATCATCAGGACATCGCGCAACAATTTAATATATAAATTGCTTCCAGTTGCCAAGGCAATTGCTACAAGTGTACCTTCTACTATATTGTCGCGATCCAGCACAGTGACATCTCTCTATCGATTTTTATAAAAGAAATTATTAAACTACGAACCAGGATGGTCATTCCGCTACGAAAACAAGATCGTTAGAAGAACGCGCTACAATTATACAAATTGTTTCCAGTTGTTGGTTGCTACCTTGTTATTGCCATCATGCAGTGAAATGACTTAATACACTGTGCCATTCAGTGACAGGATCTTTACATTGTCTTGACGCAGTATACAGTGAACGGATTTAGAGCCAAAATATTTTTGCCAGATTTTGAGCCAAAATATTTTCTCGAGTCCGGACAGTAGATTGATTGCTATATCTATTGTTTCGACTCGATACAGTGAGCTGATCACGTCTACAGTTATTAATAAGAGCAAATTAATCTACGACTCAAGATGGTCAGTCTTGAAGATGAGATGAAACAGAAGGATAAAGAAGCGGCGGTGTTCAAAGCAAATCACAAATACGAAATGTTGTTAAATATAGAACTGGAACGTATCGAGAAATGCAAGCGTACTTATGAAAACTTTCATAATTTTGAAGTGGCTGTGATGAAAGACCGACGCAGTCGCATCTTGCAAAAACAATACGAATTTAAGGTTCAGAAAAACCTCTCGAAATTGGAGATTGCGGACTTGCAACAAGGATATCAGCGGAGTAAATCACAGTCCAAAATGCGCGCAAACGAACAATGTTTGTCAAGTAATAACAAGACAAACAGCGGACGTATTTTAAATCGCACAGGAGGGATTCCTGACAGAACAAATGTAACCAAATCCGTGGCACAACCAAAGAATAACTCGATACCTGCCTCAAGCGAGCGACGTCAGCGTTTGGATTCGCAACGCGTACAATATACTAATGTCGTACAATATGCTAATAATGTACGAACTCTTACTAATGTGCCAGTTACACGACTCACGAATAAACCAAATTCCGAGAGAGATTACTTTCACGAAAATGCGCAGATGACAAATACACAGGACGCCGTCAAATTTCCTGTTTTGCAGTCCGTGTCTTCAGGCAAAAGCCCCACGACAGCAAATTCTAGCACGACCACAAGCACGCTCCAACGCCATACACATTTCTCGGAGAATTTAACAGAAACGCATGTAATACACTCACGTGATGTTCGCACGCCTTCGAAAGTTTCCAGGAAAAAGAAGTCACACCGCACGGCAAATGAAGATAACTTATCGCCATTTGATCAATATCGACTTCGGTTGCAAGAGAGCGAGCAACGAACGAGGAAGCCGAAGTATCATTTTACGCGAGCTATCAGTGCGATGCCGATGGATTCAAATGCGGGCAGGAATATAGATGATGCACTCACAGCCGTCCGAAGGGCACGTTCAGCCGATGTACAGTGAGTAGGCAGAAATGGAGTAATGTATATATAAGGCCCGGGTTAAACGTAGCTCTTTAATTCATGCGCCGAATCGAATACATTTCGTTACGACACTAGAGCGACGTTGGTGCGGTGTCAAATCAAACGTTGAACATAATATGTCGCTCCCAATGTAAATCATAAATACTTAATACAGCTATTAGATTCATGCATGAGAAGGGCGACGTTTAAACCCGGGCCTTATACTGGCTACAGCCCACAGGCCGCAAAAATATTTTTCTAAAAAATTAATTGTGTGTTTAAAACATTGATTTTCCTGGCCTAAAAACAACAAAGACACTGGGGCAATTGCGTAAGTTTTGCCAACTACGTACATGCACGCTTTAATCATATAAATTAAAATAAAAAATCTCAATTTTGTGAAAATTTCATTAATAAAAATGCGATACGTCCCAATTGTACAAAGTTAATTAATTGTCATAAACCGTGAATTATTTACTATTTATTATTGTACACCAGCGGTTTTATGACTATAAACATATTTATAACACTATTTACACTTTTTACACTATTCTGATTTTTTTTCTTCGTTCTCAAATAACACGGGTGAACTTACTGGGTGGATCCTCATTTCATGTGCCACGCACGAATGTATTTTTCTTTGATCGTGAGTCTAATCATGCACAAGCCTAACCTAACCTAATTCTTAACTCGTGCTCGAAACATGAGGATACACTGTAGCTATATATTAAATCAGGGCGGTTGACAAGCCATTGACACGTTGCCTAGTCAGGGACCTACGTTCAAAAAATACACCATAGGTGATTAAAAACCGTTTGAAAGTTCCCGTGACCAAGTCAAAAAGCAGGACGTAAAAGATGTAAGCTACTGTTTCGGCATTTCTATGCAACGAACTTCTTTTCCGTGCACACAGATATCGATGCATGCTACAGTACACACAATGCAGGGGAAAAGAGTGTTGTTCCCGCAAAACCCAATGTTTTGTCAACATGAAATTATGTCGATGCAAGAAGTGTCGGTGGCCATTCGCTTGTCTGTTGTTGGAAAAAAATGCTCCATGGATGTGAAGACAGAATTTTAAATAAAGGTTTACACGAAACACGTTCACTGCGTAATTATTCACGCAATACAGCACGCGTTAGAAATTCCCACACGAGAGCTCGCGGACATGAACACGGAAAACATTCATGTGATTATAATACTCATGACATCGTCACTTACTCGGAACTATACGTAACCCGCCGTCATCGGACGTGAGTCTTGCTCGTGCGCAAATTGAACTCGACGAGGCAGCGAAGCAAAACCATTGGTAGCGTTGACCGACTGTGAAAACAAAGGGAAAAAAATCATCCGTTATCTATTATTTACCAATAATTTATGAATCATAAAATAATACTTTACCTTTGTAGATTTTCGTTTGCAAGGTTTTAGAAAGGTCGCAGGCACCAGACCTCTTTGCCCGTTAATATCGGCTTCGTAAAAACCATCTGACCTCTGAAAAACAAAATTTAAGAAATAATTTAATTTATATTTATTGCCTTACTGCATCCAAGATATCAATACCTATGACAAGTTTCAGTTTAGATGTGTTGCATAAAAGAAGCAAGAAAATTACAACTACACACATAAAAATCTCACATCTTGCAAGATGTGTTCGCAACAAGCTTATAGCAAGCTTTTCAACAAATTTTAACAATGCTGTAATTTTATCAAGTTGCTACAAGGTCGCCACTCACAACTTGTTGACAAGTTGTTGAATTGCAGGACGATAACAAGTTGTTGGAACAACTTGTAACACGTCTGTTGAGCTCAACAACCTTGTGGCAAGTTGTCAACAAGCTGCGGACAACTTGTCAACAATCTTGGAACAAGCAGTGCGAACACATCCTGTTGACAAGTTGTTGGAACAGCATTGTTACAGATCGTGTAAGACGTCTGTTGAGCTCAACAACCTTGTAGCAAGTTGTCAACAAGCTGCGGACAATTTGTCTGGGAGAACAAGCAGTACGAACACATCCTGCACACACGTAAAAACGCACAAGTTGTTACAAGTCTGCAAACAAGTTGTTGCAAATCTGTTCACAAGCTGTCAACAAGTTGTGTTCGCACTGCTTGTTCCCAGTTGCTGTAACAAGATTGGAAGCTGTTAACAACTTGTAACAAGCTTGAAGGCATTATCAGACTTGTAGCAAAGTTGTTCTAACAAGTCTGATACAGTTATGATATAACAAGAATGTTACAAGGTTGATGAGACAAGGTTGTAACAATATTGTTATATGATGACTGTATCGGACTTGTTGGAACATGATAATATCAACAAGGTTGTTACAAGTTGCTAACAGTCCGTTTCAAACTTGTTGACAACTTGGGACAAGCAGTGCGAAGACAAATTGTTGGCAGACTACAAGATGTGAGATTTTTGCCATGTGTAGACAAGTTGTTGAAACAGCATTGTTACAAGTCTGATTACAACTAGTTGTGCGTTTCTACGTGTGTACATCTCTCGATTCCACTCATTATCCACCAAATACATAACCAGCAGATGCAATGGAACGAATTAACATTATTTTCTTATTCTGATAACTGTCGGTTTATTACCATCTGCTGCACAATAGTGCTTAGTAAAACCCATCTATTCATTGTAGATCGTTAAAGTTCATGTAAAGAAAGAGATGACTCACCATGGAACCTAAAACCCGAACAATCTGCCCTTTTCTAAAGCCCAGTTCATGATCCGGTTGTCTGTTTGGAGATTGAGTCGTAGGATTGTAGTCATATAACGCAACCATTGCCTAAGAAAATATTTCATTAAGGACAAGTTGTCACAAAGTAGTATGTTTTTACAATACATAACACTACGCAATACAACATGACACGACACGGCACAATACAAAACAACACAACACAACACAACACAACACAGCACAGCACAGCACAGCAAAACACAAATTTACCAGTACCTTAGCTTTCTTGGGACTCAAAGAGCTGGTTGATCGCAAAGAAGCATTTGAATCGTCCATTTCTTTATCACGCTAAACAAGTATACTTCAACTTTCAAGCTTTTGCATGCAGTTATTTTATACAGAGAAAAAACAGCTTCATGAGATCTTTCTTGCAGTTAAAGTTAGAATATCGATCTTACCTTTCTGTGTTGTGGTCGTGTTGCGACTGCAATTTCTTCAACGAAGTTGGAGGGAACCAGTCCTTCATGGCCGTTAACCTACACAAGAGTTTCTAATTAGAATTGTATTTCGAATTAATTGTAAAGCCTTTACTGTTCTGCGCAACCAACCTGCCCTGTGTAATATCCGTCTGCTCGGGAGGTATCCGGGACACGGATAATATCGCCTTCTTGAAATTCCAGTTCTAATGTCGGGTTAGGATTCGGAGAACTTTTTAACGGATCATAACTGAACAACGCCACAAACTAAAACAGAATATACAATCCACTATAGGTGTATCTGTGATGGGGCATACCATGGAAAACATTGTGAGAATGAGAATGGTAAGCCAGATTTATATCACCATGGTTGTCACCATCATCATAATTGCCACCATCATCATCATCATCATCAACAATCAACCATCATCATCAACCATCATCATCAACCATCATCATCAACCATCATCATCAACCATCATCATCAACCATCATCATCACCACCATCACTATCATCACTATTATATTTTTTCAATAGTTAGAACGGCAACGGGTGAGATTGACTAAACACATGGTAGGCAATGTCGGTCGCAAACAAACAATTATTAAAATGTAATAATAATAAAACAGCAAATCCTTACAGTTCGGTATGGAAGACTATTATTATCCAAATACGAGATGTCCTAAAAACAGTAAGCAAAATTGATTTAGTCTTGATTGAATAACAATTATATTATTGAGATCGTAAACTGATATTACTCACCTCCGTCGTTACTGATGTGGTCTCCTGCAAAAAATAATATTATGTAATTAAAATATACCTGCATGATCTAGAGTTGTTTTGCAACGGCAAGTGATTTGACAAACAAACAAACAAACAAACAAACAAACAAACAAACAAACAAACAAACAAACAAACAAACAAACAAACAAACAAACAAACAAACAAACAAACAAACAAACAAACAAACAAACAAACAAACAAACAAACAAACAAACAAGCAAGCAAGCAAGCAAGCAAGCAAGCAAACAAACAAACAAACAAACAAACAAACAAACAAACAAACAAACAAGCAAACAAGCAAGCAAGCAAACAAACAAACAAACAAACAAACAAGCAAGCAAGCAAACAAACCTACCATCATAACAGCTTCGTTAAAGTGAGTGATGGATTTTTCCGAACAGAATCCGTTTTCCGAAACTGTTTGAATTCCAAGTTCCACAGGGCGGGTTAGATCAAGATTTTCAACCAAAGCCTTTTAGAAAGAAAAATATTTACAATTTCTAGCAAATGAGTAAAGTTATGATTATATTTTTTTACTAAAGAGAGATGTAAATTCTGGAGTGACTTGCACAAATTAGCCTTCGTACAACCGGTCTCAGGACAGCAACGTTTTTACTCATCAATTATTTATGAATTTCACAATTTTTTTCATAATCTCATAATTGAGACGTCTCACCTTTGCCATGTAAGGACTATCCACATGTAGTTTTGGTTGACCATTGGCAAGAATCTAGAAGATGTCACAGGTTAGTCAAGGTTGAATTAGTCTGTTTTGCCCGAAAACCACCGTATCTACCTTGTATCCTTTGACAAGCTGTCCGTTATTTCGTCCAAGTTCATCAACCTCTGGTGTAATCCAACCAAGAAGTAAAGCATCTTTATTCACACAACGCAAAACACGGAGATTTCTCGGTGCTGATGGTAGAGCTGGAAACAAATGATTCAGTTTAATAATAATGTTCATAGCTTCAAATTCCATTTTATCTGACTAACCTTGCTCCCTAACTATATCCCTTTAGCTAATTCGCTAACTAAATATACCTATTTAATTAGCTAACTAGCTAACAAACCAACGTAGTTAACTATAACTAACTAGCTAGCCTAACTAGCTAGCCTAACTAGCTAGCCTAACTAGCTAGCCTAACTAACTAGCCTAACTAACTAGCTAGCCTAACTAGCTAGCCTAGCTAGCCTAACTAACTAACTAGCCTAACTAGCCTAACTAGCCTAACTAGCCTAACTAGCCTAACTAGCCTAACTAGCCTAACTAGGCTAACTAGCCTAACTAGCCTAACTAACTAACTAACTAACTAACTAACTAACTAACTAACTAACTAACTAACTAACTGACTAACTAACTAACTAGCCTAACTAACTAACTAACTAGCCAACTAACTGACTAGCCAACTAACTATAACTGTATAACTAACCCATTCTTCATGATCAACTCTTCAAACTCAACGCATTCCAAACTCCCCACATAACCTAAACATGATACTGTTTCATTCATACTAGTATTTCATACCAACCTGATGAAATGTTCATAGCTCTGCTCGAACTCCCTCTGCTACCACCAGCAGTAGAAACATTTTGTGTGTTCAGAACGTTTTCTACGCTACTCTGTCTGATAAATTGTTCCGTCACTTCTTTTGATGCGTATGGGGTGGAACCTGGGGGAGCTGCGTGGATAACAGTTGGTTGTCTAGGGATGACAGAGGAATGAGAGGGATAATGATTGCTGAATGTATTCATGGTGGACGTGCCTTGGGTTCCATCTTGAGACCGCATCGAAGGAACTGGACATGAAAAATAGAAAAGCATTAGCAGAGCAATGACAACTATGACAGAAAAGTACAACATCTACTATCTGAAAAACTATCTGAAAAATATAAGGAGAATTTCGACGTTTCGAGCGAAGGCCCTTCGTCTTGAGAGTTACTAGCCTAGTTACAACCAACGAAAGCTTGTTCATATTATTGGCACTACCTACACTGGCATAGACAGTTCAAGATTTAACAAATCAGGCTGTAACCTCGTTGCCAAGAAATCTGTATGACGGATTAAGTGTTGCCATATTGGCAGCTGAGTTCTTAAATGTTAACTGTCGGGGTTGATTATGCACGCAATAAATTATAGCTCTCTCTTCTACGCCCTTTTTCAGATGACTTTTATGTTAACTGAAATAGCATTATTGATACTGAATACCCGGAGAAAACCTGAGAAAAGTGTTTTGGAAAACGGGTAGTACCCAGTGGGATGTAGATGGAATTATAATCAGACTACTGCACATTGTCCGAGAAATTCAAGACTCATATACTGACCATTGTACCACACAGCTACCTTGTTCCTTTAAAGTTAATAATTTAAGAAAATGAGTCCTCGTAAAAGCATAAATTGAGAGAAGGTGCAAAAGCGCTCACCTTGATCTGTGGTCTGTACAGGAGAAGCGAAGTTCAACTAAAACATAGTGGAAGCTGGTTTAAGCTCAGGTAAAGGCACCGAAAATGAGATAACCGTAATTTACTAAATTTGTGATTTTAATTCAGGACATAACTATATTACCTTATTGGGTCTTGTAATGGACGGTGAACTTGGTTTAACTAAGTTTGAAGGAACGATAGCCAATCTCCCTATAAAAATAAAGTAGTAAAGCTGTTGAGAAATTAGCTTAATGATTTTCTATTTCTCTTAGGGAAGAAGCATTGAAAGGCACTGCAACAGAGCTAACTTAAGTCACGTATCAGTGATTGGTATGGTGGACAACTTCAGAATCATTGGTACTTAAAAGAAAAGAAGATTAAACTACATCACCTCAATTATTTACTACCAAATACAAAAACTACATGTATAATGAAAAGAACTAAATATTATGTTCTCATTCTGATAACTGCCACTGGATCACTATCTGCTGAAATATAGTGCTTAGTACCATACTGTATATGCCACGGTGTAAACGCCTATTTCCACTCAGGGAAATTTTCCGCAAAAAGAAAATTTTGTAAATTGTGATTGGCCGACAATTTTCAACTTCTAACAATGATATTTTCGGAAAATTTTCTGTCCGTGGAAAATTTTCTTGAGTGGAAATAGGCCTTAACGCTGGAAATTATTTTCTAAATCCTTACCATGGAAAGAGTATGGATCTTAGTTGAAAATAGTATGGAAAACCAATTTTCATACTGATTGCAATTTTCATACTATGGATATATATCTTTGTGTTAAGTGTGGCTCTGCCCGTAGTCTTCTGTTTCTTCCTATGTGCTGTTTTCAATGTCTGTAAGTCTTAAAAAGGTATGTTTACGCGCTGCGATTTTTCGTGTGCGGTTTGTATTTTGGCGTATTAAAATGAGTGCTGGCACCATAATTCATAAATTTCAAATGTAGCCAGCTTACGCGTGTTTATCATATGACATACGCCAGAGGGTGAATCGTACGCGGTGGATCGCGGTGTGTAAACGTAGCTTTAATGTTGTTAATGTCTGTATATGTTTGTATGTTTTATTGGAATTTGTAATCGGTATTTATTGTTAGTTGATATTAAACTTAATGTATTATAATGGATCCGCAGTAAATGGCCCTAGCTGTTGCGGTTTCCAAGCCTGCATGTTGAGGCGAAGTGTAATAAATTATAAATTATAAATAATTATATAGTATGGATTTAGTGATGTAATCGCAAACTCCATAGTATGAATTTCACTATTTTTTTCCAGTGTACTCATATATCCCAACTTATACCTCCTTTTTCAACAGTATAGTATCCATTGGCATCCACATCACCGACGACGGTCACCTGCTCGCCTGCAGTCAGCGGAAGCTCAAGATCAGGTCTGGTTGAGGTACTTGATGTAAAAGGATTATAATCGTTCAAAGCAACGAAAGAACGCTTCACCAAACCAGGCATATTTGCCAATGGTCTGGGAGGTATGCTGTGGTGGTCTGGTTTCTTGGCAGGACTTTTGGAAGTATTCAATTGACGTTGCTGCAAGAAAAGAACAAAATTAAGAACGTAATGTTTTACAGACTCTCGTCAACTCTCTTGTTTGATCCAAACCAAGGTTTAATACCGACCTTTCTGAGTTTTCTCATGTCGTACTCATCAATCTCCTCGATATACAAACTAGACACCAGTCCTCTCCTGCCATCCAGCTCGGCCATGTAATATCCATTCAGGTCAAGTTCACTATTCACAGTGATGACGTCACCTTCGATCAGTTTCAGTTCTTTTTCTGGGTGACCTGTGGTACTCAAGCGATCAGGATCATAGTCAAACAGGACAACGAACCGTTGGCCCTTTGCAGAATCTCTTGAAGTAGCCTGGAAAATATATTTGATTATTAGTCAATGGCTTAAAATATTTTTCGAAGACTATTTATTACCAAGTAGCTAAAATTGTCTGCTTTATTCTTCCTTCAACGCCCATAACATTTTTCAACAATTCCAACAACGCAGTTGTCTAATTATTATTTTGGCTAAGACGCATGTTTTCTTCACGTGCTCTGTATAGTAAAACTCGAGCAACAAAGGATGACCCTTACCGAATCCCTGAGGGAAAGAGTTTAGAACTGATAGAGCTATGCAATATAAAACAAAGTTAGTTTGGTTTAGGTTCCCCCTTGTACAAGCACTGAATCAATCACGGAACGATCCTTACTGGACCTCTAAGGGAGAACACTTTAAAACTGATAGAGGTTTGCAGATCTCGATCAAACGAAGACTCTCTCGCTCGCGTTTGACCGCCAACTGTCGTCGACTCCCACGCAGTCTCGTCAACTTCCATCAATTTTTCTTGATGAGAGTTGACGAGAGTTTTCGCTACGTACGCGCGCGGTAATAGCCACTCAACTCTCGTGTAACTCTTGTTCTCATTTGACCGGGGCATCAGAATTGAGAAAACTCTCATGCAAACTCTCGCTTCTCAACTCTCATCAACTCGCATTCTCGCTTGACCAAGGCTTTTGTTTTTCCTAAACTAGCACTGGACGAATGCAACTATAAGATTCCAGGTTTCAATTAGGTCCAGGTCTGTTGTTTATAATATCTACAGCTATTTTTCAGTCTTTACTTACGTGGTTATTATTGAAATCAGGAGGTTCTCGAAACTTTACAGATTTTTCAGGACTGCCAAAACCAAAAGCTGGAATGCTCGACAATTCGTCTACGGCAGAACTCGCGATTGAATGTTTTAGTTCACGGATTTCTGTCTTCAATTTGTCCAGCTGGTCGTCTTTCTCCTTGCACGCTTTCTTCAGCAACGCCACTTTAGCCTAGAGTTATAATAATATATATTTCAAGTATATTCAAGTGTTTTACCTTGCTTTCATTTCAATTATGATGCACGAAACACGTTTCTATCCAAAGATATATCCAGAAAAGAAACTTGAAAATTTCGCTCTGCTGAAGCAATGGCTGTAACTTCGTGGGTCTAGTGTAGGTGGTACTCTACAGCAAGTTGGCGTAGCTGAACTACTTGAAGATGGTTGAACACATTTGACATTTCAAGCAAACGCTATTTCTTTAAGTGGCTTCAGTAATTTTGGCAGTGACATTTTAACATAATCAAATCAAAGTTTAGGATTTCTATGAGTGAAGACGATATAAAATTCGGCTCAGCCTCCTCTTGCAATAGAGCGAGCCAAAATAAAACAAAAAGTCTTGTTCTTTAACTGGAAGCAAACACGCAAACCAATATCTTAAAATAAAAATTTAAGGGTAAAAATTTAAGGTCATTGTTTTAGTCCCTCACCTTTAATGTAGGGAGTTGAACTTCGGCATCGTCTCTTTGTCCAGTTAGTTCAGCGATCTGCAAATACAAAATAGAAACAAAAATTCTTCATACAATAAAAGCTAACCTAGTAACCTTTTGTCAATCGGGAAAGCAGCAATGGCAAGCAATGGCTGTATAAATGAAATACTTTGCAAAACTAAATAAATAATAAAACTTTAGTAGAGTCAGTTATGGTTTAAAAAGTACTTCAAAGCCTACCTTTAACTTCAGCGTATGGAACTTTTCCTCGAGTTTTTCATTGTCTCTGGAAACGAAACAAAATGGAACAACTTCCGTACTAGCAAAGTCAATTTAAAGATAACCCTAATCCCAATATTAAACTTAATCCTAACCCAATCCTTGGCTAACCTAATTCTAATAATCCTAACCTTAACCCCAACCTATCCATGACCGTGCGGGTAAGCACGGAAACCATTGATATACGATTAGTAAGGTTACTCTCATGGCCGGATTTTGAGGGGAGGTGTGGGGAAGTGCGCACCTCCCCTGAGATCGTTCTTCACCCTCCCCTGAAAATTTTTGCACCTCCCCTGGAAAGTCATGCACCTCCCCTTGAAAACGTTTCAATGATAGATCAGAGTGAACATTTGACATTTTTTGGTTGCTCAGGGTCTACACTACGCTAGAAAGTTTTTCTGTAAAATTAGCCATTCATCTCTGTGTCAAGTACCCTTTTAATGCAATATTTTAAAAAAGAAAACGTTTTAGTAATTGTAATGAAGGGCAGAATTGGACGAGTTGTACAGTCATAATTCATATACACTGATACATATATGTACACTTCATGCATACGTCACGTTGACTTTGGCCCGTTCTAAGCCCTGACTTTCGATGGGGGTCGTGAGCTAGACTGCTGCACCTTCCCTAAATTTTTTAACTCCTCCACTTTTCCCAACACAATCCGGCATTGGTTACTCTCCCCGTTTACCGTACCTTGTAAGTTTTTCTAACTCAGCAGTTCGTCCTACAAGTCTGTTTCTTTCCTTCAAGCAGTTCCCTAGTTCTGTTGACAACTCAGTTCGTTCACTTTCAATCTTCTTACACTGGGTACGTAAAAAGTGAAGTTCTCGTTCCGCGTCTTGTGATTTACTTTGGTATTGCTTCAAGTCTGACTTGCATTCGATCAACTGAAAAATAAAATTCATTAGCCCAATAGAGTCTTGAAATATCTCAAGTACATAGGCGTACGAGACAGGGGGGCAGTGGGGGCAACTTCCCCCCTCCCCAAATTTTGGAAAACCATAGAAATTCGGGCAAATGCTAGGAAAATCAAGAAAATTCGGGCAGATTTATCAAAAAATATGTTAAATTCATGTTATTTCATTACAACCATCCATAAAAATTGGGGCAAACGTTTAACTGCCCCCTGGGCTCAATGTAGGTGGTGTTGAACAGCATTCAAGACGTTGTTGAAAGATGTAATGCCTCCACGTTTTGAGAGAAGACATGCATGTGTAAAGTACAACTTTCCAGACGAAGCCCCTTTGCCCGAAACGTCGAAGATACTTTGTTCGAACATTTTTCGCTCTACATCTTAACAGATTGAATCTTTAAAACCTTACCCAGAGAGTAAAAGAAAGACGTGCATATTTAGAACACCCTATGACTATGGAACAAAAATTAGAACCCCATGTTTATTTGAAACGACAAAAGGTAAAACGTGAATACGAATTTTAAATAACGTTTCGTAACAACCACAGTGACAACAAAAGCCATCTGTCCGTCCATCCATGTTTTATCTAAACTTAGGGTCAAGAAGCACCTGCGGTGAAAGGTCAAGCGCATGCGTGAGTCTACGGCAATGGCGGGGGAAATGTCTGCCAAAGTGAAGTAATATAGGAGTAAATATGGGAAAAACGGCTTAAGGTCTAAGCTCAGTAAGCTCGGGATCGAATTTGACGGCATCTTTCTTGTGACAAGAAGTTACACTGAGTTTACACCCTCGTATTTTCTGACACTTTTTGCTAGAGCTTCGTGAAGACAAATTAGACAATATTATTTACAGTCTTCCAAGTACAAGCAGTCAGAAATACGAGGCTGCGTAGCTGGCGGTTCTATTTAAGAGGTTGCAAGGGCGCAGGCAACGAAAAGTTAAGGAAGGCGAGGCGCGGGAAAATGCGATTTACAAATGGACCATTTGCATTATAGACTAAATTTTGATCTCAACAAGTCTAGACAAAAATTTCATCACAGCTTGAAAGAGCATCACAAAATTAGTAATATTCCAAAGTTTCGTTGCGAAATGTTGTAAAATGTGTATAATATAGCCTTGCGAA